ATGTTCCCTTCAATTTCCTGTTTTTTTAAATTTCTACTATATGCCAGAACATTTTCTGTCCCCTCCCCCTCAAATATACCTGGACAAGTGAATGAGACCCACGTCCACTTGCTTCCTAAAGCTCATTTTATGACTGCTTACCTTTTTGAGGTGCTCATATCCACCGGCTCATCTCCCGTCTGAACTTCCACTCTGATGGTTGCTTTCATCTCCCCTCCTTTTAATAATCCTTGGACTTTACTAGATCCAGAGTCAGTCTTTAGCTTAAGGTCCCCCCCTTCGGAGTTGCCCTCGGGGCCCCCCAAAAGCCCTTTGTCCATTTTCATTTTTTTACAGTCCACGTCGTTTTGGGTGACTTCCCGTTCAAGTGCTCGCTTCTGGCTTCGTGTCCTGCAAGCTTCCTCCGTCATTATGGTGCTCTGGAAGAGGAGCACAAAGAGGTGGTGGAAGAGGGGAGGGAGAGAGAAAAAGAGAAAGAGAGGGAGAGGAGAGAGAATGAGAATATGTTCACTACACCAACCAGGTGCCATATATACGGCAAATCAAGTGGTTCAAGCTCCGATCCTATACTCACACTCCCCATCCCCCATCACATCCTGGAGTGGAAATCAAATAATCAAAAGCCAAGACTGGAGGGGGTTTTTTTGGGAGGGGGGGGGGAACAGGTGCAAGTATGCCTAACTTCCCATAGGAAATCCAGAGCATTTCCTTCTGACAACGCAGCCTCCTTTTCTTATCGTTTTTAGATACCCGGTTTTCTTTTAAAGTTTTATTTCTAGTGAAGTGTTCCAGAGTTCTGTGAAAAAAAGTCCCTCCTATTTAAGGAGGTCGGAGGGGGGCGGCTCCCCTAACCCCCCCACCCAATACCCGGCTGCCCCATCAACTCTTCCTGGCTAAAAAGGAGAAACTTTTAAGCTGATGCTGAAAATAAGGCACTTGATTCGGCCAACCTCCTTAAAAACCAGGAGCTGGGTAAACTCTTCCCATCCCAACCCTTTAAGTCTGTTCTGAAAGTGCTCCGGATCCTTGGGAATTCAGGTGGGAATTGGGGGGGTGGGGGAGGTTTTGAAGGGAAAGGGGCTTTAAAAAGTTTTGTTTGGAGGAGGGAACATGCACTGGAGAGAGAGAGAGAGGCCTGCTTCTGACCAAGCCTCCCCCAGCCCTACCTGCAAGGAGCACACATATCTGATGGGGGTGGGGGGAGGAGAGCTGAGTCAGTTTGTGATCCCATGACATCACTGGATCTACACATGACCCTTTCCCAGGATTCAGTCGGGAGACACAAAGCACTTTCCAGAAAACCGGTCTGAACTGGTTCCAGACAACAAGCGAAGTGTCGTTAACCCTAGCGGAGGCACCATCTTGCAGTGCTGGCGTGTGTGTGCGCGGCTGCGGCATCTGCCGCAGCTGGCATTCCACAACAGAAGTCCCGGGGACCATCCCCTCTGCTCCTCTTAAAGGGGCAGCGCGCTTTGACACCAGCGCAGCAGCCATGGCTGCCGGGACACCACTTTGCCAAGGAAAGCCACTTTGTGTGTGTCCGGGGGGGGGGGGGATCTTTTTTTTTTTAATAATTTGTTTTTAAAAAGTAAGCCAAAAAGGGAAAAGAAGATCCAATTCAGAATGAGAAGGAGGGAAG